ATTATTATTATTATTATTATTATTATTAAAGTCCCTGCCTCCCCACAGCCATCTAAGTCCCCTCCTCTCCGGGGCTTTTTCCAAGCAATCTGAGATTACATCTGCATGCAGCCAACCTATCCTCCACCCTTTTCATCTCTCTTCTGGTTCTGGGAGACCAGGGGAGAGGAGAGTTTGTCGCAGCAGGAGAGGGAGACACTTGCGACTCTTCACCAGAGGCTAGCAGGTCCCTGTCCCTGGCTTACTCCACAATAGATCTGTTAGCCTTTTAGGTGTCATTTCTCCTTTGTATGTTTGCAAGCATGAACAGAGCTTTCAAAAACAGGCAGGGCCGGCTGGCAACTCCAGTTGCCTTTGCGTAACCTCACTTCACATTTCCAATCAGAAGGCAGAAGATTGAATGGGGGCATCTGAGCTCTTTCGGCGGATAATTGCAGCTTGGCTGGAGGAAGCCGCCTGATGTACAAAAAAAAAAGGGCAATTGCCTGGGTCTCTCAAATTAATCGCAGAATGTATTTTGAATTGTGCTGACTTGAAGATGCACTTCAGAGTCTCCGGGCAATGGAAATGAGCACTTGACTAGAATAACGACATTGGCTTGGGGCATGAGATAGTATTTTCATTATTTTCATTTTCTTTTTAAAAAATTCAGTTCTCCAGCAGTACATTTGATGTTCATTTTCCAAATCAGGAACGTGGACAAAATAGATCCAGGAAATCACAGCAGCAGTCGTGTTCCCACTGCAGTCCCTGCAGAGAAACAGCGTCTGGTGTGAAAATGTGGGCTTATGGAAACATGAACGGAATAAGATGAGGAATTGTGCCTGCTTTTTAGTGGGTGCTTCAAGATCAGAGCAGACCTCGGACTTGCAAGGTCTGCCTCATGTTTTCCTAGCATCCTGGACAGAATCAGATGCAAAAGACATGCACTGTTTTAGACCCTATGCATGACCACAGTTCCAAAACATGCAGAGAGCCTCCAAAAGATGCAAAAGTTTCTCGCTGATATGGTTCCAAAAGAAAGAGGAGCAATAAGTTTGGCTCCAGCTTGGCTGCAGGAGTTGCTGGAAGCATCCAACTGTTTTAGGGACCCTACTCTGAATTTAAGGACACGGGTGGCGCTGTGGGTTAAACCACAGAGCCTAGGACTTGCTGATCGAATCCCCATGATGGGGTGAGCTCCTGTTGCTCGGTCCCTGCTCCTGCCAACCTAGCAGTTCGAAAGCACCTCAAAGTTCAAGTAGATAAATAGCTACCACTCCAGCGGGAAGGTAAATGGTGTTTCCATGTGCTGCTCTGGTTCGCCAGAAGCGGCTTAGTCATGCTGGCCACATGACCCGGAAGCTGTACGCTGGCTCCCTCAGCCAATAAAGTGAGATGAGCGCCGCAACCCCAGAGTCGGTCACGACTGGACCTAATGGTCAGGGGTCCCTTTACCTTTACCTTTACCTTTACTCTGAATTTACTCCATAGCCTTTACATCTCTCCAAGACCTCCCGCAAGGTAGCCGAGGTTTAGGAACAATGTTTTAACAATTCAGAGTCAAAAATCCCTGTGCGTGTACAGTATTTCAAATCACTCAGAGATCTACCAGCAGATTCCCATCTGTCTTCTGCCCATTCCCAATCTAGATCACATCAAGCGCTTAAATAATGGGAGGAACTGTCCCCACCTATCATATTTCGTGATGTCCTCTGCTTAGCATCTGTTTTAGGATGCTAAAGGCAGCTCCCAATGGGATCAGGGAGAGGCAAGGACTAAGTACAGTGGTACCTTGGTTCACAAATGCCTTGGTTCCCAAACGCCGAAAACCCGGAAGTAAGTGTTCCGGTTTTCAAACATTTTTCAGAAGCCGAACGTCCAATGCGGTTGTTGGCTATTGTTTCCAGGGCACCTACACCAATCAGAAGCTGCACCTTGGTTTTCGAACATTTCGGAAGTCAAATGGACTTCCAGAATGGATTCAGGTTGGTGTTTTTGTTTTTGCTATTTATTTTGCGTTTTTGTTTCTGAGGCTTTTTCGGTTAATTTGTTTTTGTGACTGTGTGGAACCCAGTTCAGCTACTGATTGATTGATGGTGTGACTGCGGAAATGGATAAAAGCCCCCCCATCCAAGCAATGACTATCATCAGTGCGGGTAAGGGGGGAGAAATTAAATTTTTATCATCTACAATGCTGTCTTATTTGTTTTATAGTACAGTACATTGATTATTGCTTTCATTTTATGGATCAATGTCCTCGTTAGATAGTAAAAATCATGTTAAATTGCTGTTTTAGGGGTTGTTTTTAAAAGTCTGGAACAGATTAATCTGTTTTGCCTTACTTTCTATCAGGGCCATCTTACCCATAGGAGCTAGGGGTGCGGGGCACTTGGGCGCTGGGCTCTCAGGGACGCCAGGTCGAGAGTCCGGGACCTGAGAGTTGAGTCTGGGGAAGAGCCCGCCCATCGGTTGGAGCACTGTGGCAGGCTCTTCTGCTGCGGGCGGCTCTGCGCTGCAAGTTCAAGGGCAACGGAGCCAGTGAGACGCTGAGGCAGGCAGCCAACTCTGCCCTCCTGCTTGCCTGGGACTGGGCAACGGGGGCGGCACTGGGTGGATATCTGTACTCTGGCGCCACACATGCTTAAGACAGCCCTGCTTTCTATGGGAAGGCATGCCTTGGTTTTGGAACACTTTGGTTTTGGAACGGACTTCCGGGACAGATTAAGTTTGAGAACCAAGGTACCACTGTACCACCACTTATTTCACAGCAGGGATGATGACTTTATCCTCCTGGTCTGCATGCCAATTATTTATTTATTCTTCTCGGCCATTGGACCCACCCACCCCCCTTGGTCTCATCCACACAATCCGCCGGAGCCTGTCTTCATGTGCAGTGTTAAATTCCCAACCCACCCAGGGTTTGAGACCCATTGGCTACCCTCACCTTGTTAATGGATCCTAGGGAAAAGAAACCAGCAATGAGAAACAGCATCAGTTTTCAAATATTTAATTCCTGCGCTAGGGCAGTATATTAATACAACCAAATGGAAATCACCAACCTACTGAGACTGGAAGAGAACCCAAGGTGGATTTGTGTATATTGGAGCAAGAGGGGATAAGTTAATTGAAGGTTATTGGGGGTGGGGAGACTCCCTAGAGCAGGGGTCAGCAAACTTTTTCAGCACGGGGCCGGTCCACTGTCCCTCAGACCTTGTGGGGGGCCAGACTATATTTTGGAGGGGGAGAATGAACAAATTCCTATGCCCCACAACTAACCCAGAGATGCATTTTAAATAAAAGGACACATTCTACTCACGTAAAAACACCAAGCAGGCCCCACAAATAACCCAGAGATGCATTTTAAAAAGGACACATTCTACTCATGTAAAAACACGATGATTCCTGGACCGTCCGTGGGCCGGATTTAAAAGGTGATTGGGCCGGATCCAGCCCCTGGGCCTTAGTTTGCCTACCCCTGCCATAGAGGGAAAGCCATTTGCACATAACAAAGTACAGTATGTATTTTATCAAAGCAATTGTTGAAGTGAAATACAATTAAGAAGAAATATATTGCTTGTATTTGATTATATGTTGCTCTTATATTCAACTAATAAAATATTCCCCCCCCAAAAAAGAAAAGAAGATGTATATTAATAGTGAAATAATTATTAAGCTCTAACATAAAATGATTGGAGGCCCATTACTTACATCATAGGATCCTACACAACACAAAACACTGTTGCTGTATGTAGGTTTAATTTAATTTAATTTAATTTTTTTATCTTATATTTTGGAAATGTACATACAGGTATTTTTTTACTTTAAATTTGTTGGGGCCCCCAAGGGAGTGGGGCCCTAAGCTATAGCTTGTTTAGCTTATATGTAAATCAGGCACTGGGCGCATGCAATATGTACCACAGTCAGGAGAAGAGCCCTGCCTGAAGCCGTAGACAGCTGCTGCTAGTCAGAGGAGACAATGGGGGGTTAAATGGACCAGTGATCTAAGGCAGCTTTATACATACCTTCAGCCTAAGGTAAAGGTAAAGGGACCCCTGACCATTAGGTCCAGTCGTGGCTGACTCTGGGGTTGCAGCGCTCATTTCGCTCTATAGGCCAAGGGAGCCGATGTTTGTCCGCAGACAGCTTCCGGATCATGTGGCCAGCATGACTAAGCAGCTTCTGACGAACCAGAGCAGCACACGGAAATGCCTTTTTCCTTGCCGCCGGAGCGGTACCTATTTATCTACTTGCACTTTGACGTGCTTTCAAACTGCTAGGTTGGCAGGAGCAGGGACCAAACAACAGGAGCTCACCCCGTCGCAGGGATTCGAACCGCCGACCTTCTGATCGGCAAGTCCTAGGCTCTGTGGTTTAACCCACAGCGCCACCCACGTCCCAACCTTCAGCCTAGGTAGAGATTATTGCCCAGAAGAGGTCACTTCATAAAGCCACATCCTATTAGCTACACAGAGTTCCTAGGGGGAGATCTGCACCTCCTCAAAATGCTGCATTCTGGAATTGTTGTAGTTTCCGGAGTCACCTTCAAAGGTAGCCCCACGTAGAGCACATTGCAGTAGTCAAGCGGGAGATAACCAGAGCATGCACCACTCTGGCAATACAGTCTGTGGGCAAGTGCACCAGATGGAGCTGGTAGACAGCTGCCCTGGACACATAAATGTTGGCCCTCAACTCGAAAGGGAGGACAGACGAGAAGGTTCATCTGAGGTATACATTTCCTAGAGTCACCTTCTCAAGGAGAAGAAGTGAGTGTCATGGGACAGTGATTCCACACAAGGCCAGCCTCATCCTGACATTTGTTTACAGGGTTTGAGATAGGGCGGAGCTACGACTGTAAGGAATGAGGGGGGTGGGTTGGAATGGGAAAAGCAGGCTAGCACTCCAACCTCATAGCAAATAGGAGGGCCCAGAGTTATGGGTGAGAGTAAGACAGAGCTTGAAGAACACCAGAAGGCCAACTTATATTACTTAGTGGTCCCTCCCTCCCCAACAACCCAATTTCATTTCTCTGAGTCAAAAGGACCTTCAGGTTCATTCCAGTTCTTGCCCTGGTTCTTCTTCCTGTTCCTCTCTGCCATGACAATGGCAGCGATCACCGTCACCAAGACGGTGACAGTGATAACCAGGACAGTGGCGGTCTCTGCCACGCACAGCTGGCTGTCCACAGACGTGAGGGGTGACCCCGCCAGCTGCCAGGGACTGGCGCAGGTGATGTTCTCGTAGTCATCCACGTGAAGGTGCCGGACACTCATGATCTTGCCGAAAACACGCTGGAGGTCGCAGTCGCAAATCCACGGGTTGCCTGCAAATTGGATATGGGTGCTGATGGTCTGGATGTTCAGGAACGTCTTGAATTTGAGGTGGATGAGCTGGTTGCCCGTCAGGGACAGAAGCTTCATGTTGTGCAAGGAGATGAAAGCCTCCAGCTCAATGGCGCTGATGTTGTTGTTGCTCAGAAGGAGGACCTCAAGGTTCTGGAGCATGAAGGAGAAGCCGTTGTAGAGCACCGTAAGCCTGTTAGACTGAAGGTAGAGGTGTCTGAGCCCGGAGAGGCCCCGGAAAGTTCCTCTCTCAATAGAAGTCACCCGGTTGTGACTCAGGTCCAGCTTCTCCAAGTTCTCCAGGTACTGCAAGCTGTTGAACCGCAAGGCTCCCAGGTGGTTGTAGGACACCTTGAGTTCCTTCAGAGAAGTCAAGTCGTCCGAGAAGTAGTGCGGCAGATGGACCAGGAGGTTGTGGCTGAGGTCCATCTTCTCCAGAAAGCCCAGGGTCCTGAAAGCGTTGGGCCATATTCTCACAATGGGATTGTGGGACAAGAGGAGAATCCTCAACGACCACAGGGCATCAAAGCCGCCTCCCTCTAGCCCACTCAAGTTGTTGTGCCTCAGGTCCAGCATCCATGTGTCGTGAGGGACGCCTGGGGGGACTTGGGCCAAGTGGCGGCTGTGGCAGTCCACGAAACTGGAGGACTCGTAGCAGGTGCACGGGTGGGGGCAAGCCTGGGAGGCCTGGGCCACCAGGGCGCACGACAACAGGATGGCTACGGAGAAGGGAGACATCTCCAGGAGGCCTGGTGGAGGTCTGGCTTTTGCTGTGCGCTTGCAAAGCCCTCAGCTGAACTGGTAAGGAATGGAGATCACAGCACCAAGCGCTCCTCATTCGATCCAGAGAGTCATATTTCTTCAGAGGAATCCATAACAAAGAGCTCTTTGTCGAGTGATTAGCTAAGAGCTTCCTTGGACTTTCGCCTTGGAGGACAACAGGCAACTTGAGCAAACCAGAGAGGAAGAAACGGATCAGAGAGGCCTGTAACTGGAGCAGCAGCACTTTCTGCAAGATGTGTCAATCATACCTTATCTCGTTGGTCTCTTTCTCTCTATTTCCAGTTCCAGCGGCTTGGATCCTTGAAAGCCTAACAGGGCGGCAGGGGACCAGGGCAGGCTTTTTCAGTTCGATCTTCCAGAGAGAGGCACTAAATGAAAGAGAGGGAAGAGGCAGCAATGACTGGAATATGAACAAGGGAAGGCTTTAGCCTGTAATCACTTTAGGGCATGGGTAGGCAGACTAAGGCCCGGGGGCCAGATCTGGCCCTATCTCCTTCTAAATCCGGCCTGCGGACGGTCCGGGAATCAGCATGTTTTTATATGAGTGGAATGTGCCCTTTTATTTAAAATGCATCTCTGGGTTATTTGTAGGGCATAGGAATATGTTCATATTTTTCCCAAAAAAATATAGTCCGGCCCCCCACAAGGTCTGAGGGACAGTGGACCGGCCCCCTGCTGAAAAAGTTTGCTGACTCCTGCTTTAGGGGTCTAGGTAAACAGACCCCTAACCATTTTCTCTGTTTTACCCTCCTTTGGTTGCCAGACCTTGAAATCAAAGCACTCCATACAGCAAGCAATAGCTTTACCTGTGAACAGTTAAAATGCCCTCAAAGTGTCCTTCCGTGCGCTTTAAAGTTGTAAATGAACTTTAATGCACCACAGGAAGGAACAGAGGGGGCTTGTTTATTCTGGGAGGGGCGCCCCCCCTCCAACAGCACCCACATGAAGCCATTGGCATCAAAATGCCAGCCTATATTGTTTTACCCATGTAATCAAGAACGGCCAGCGCCCTTAACAAACTCCTCCTCACTCCCAGCGCTGCCACTCACTTAGAGAAGACAAGAAAGTGTTATAAGAATTTTAAGGTCTCAGATATAGAATAAAGATTCATAAATGCACACGTATCTAAATATATGAACCACGTGTCTGAAATAGTATGGGTGAGCAATCCTGAAGCCATTTTGACTCTCAAATATTCCTCTGCAATAAGGGAGGCAAATGGGGAAAGCCTTCCCATTGTCTTTTTGCTCGCAAATCCTACCTTAAAGGGCGCATTTGTGTATGAATAGGGTGAGCCTGTGCCCTGGACTCAGGAACTAAAGTATTAACCATCACAAAAGAATGGCCAGGCTGCCCAGGTAATGCCATCAGTGACCATTATCAGGTATCCTGGCAGACAGGATTTCTGCTGTTGACCGCCTCCTTCTGTGATGTATGTATGATGTTTTTGGGGGTGGTCTTGGGCTACAGGGTGGGCAATTTCAAAAGTCTATATAAGGGCTTGCGCACCATTGTTCGGGTTCCTCCTCCCTCCTGCGTGTGGGGAGTGGGGACCCTGTTGCAAGAGTTCCTTGAATAAAGATCAGGCTTACTAGCCGCTTTGCTTCTCAATATACTCTGGTGGGCCTCTGTTTTCTCCTGCCGATAGGGAACCCACTTAAGGACTCTGTACGGGCTCTGGAATACCCCATAAGGGAAAGGGAGCAGTTTTTCTTATAGCAAAAGCAAGCAGCAACACAACTTGACCTTTTCACCCCCAAAAAAGTTTTTGATTTGAGTTCCTACTGAAATGAGGCTGCATTTTAATGTTGTATTTTAACCTTGTTTTTAAGTTGTATTTCAATCAATTGTTTTTATACCGGTGTTATCCGCCCTGAGTCTGGTCTTGGCTGGGGAGGGCGGGGTATAAATAAAATTTAATAATAATAACAATGAGGAGGAGGAACAGCAGGTCAAGGGTTGGCTGAGGGTTCCCTGACGAAGTGTGTGGGCCTTAGTGGGGGCTCATGTCCCCTATAGCCTGTGAGGTCCTCATAAGGCATGCTGAGGCAACCGCCAGGGCCCCAGCCCCACTGCTGTGCCCACCAATCAACACCGAGGAAATGAGGCACCATTTTGGTTTCCCAGAATGCTCCCCTCATGTAGCATGGTACCAAGGCATTGTGGGAAATTTAAGCGCTGGCTCACTACCGAATATGGATCGGGGTACTCCTGCTGCTGCCCACTACTGCTAGAAAAGCCCGCTGGACCCCATCAGCTCCAAAGGAAGGGACCCATCCGAGGACACGTTGCCAATGGCTCCCTCGGTCCTAGAGCCGAGGACAGACTGTCACAGAAAGGGGCTGAGTTCAGCCTATGTGTATTAAGATGGAGGCTGGAGAAGGAGAACGAGGCTGACCTTCGTGCAGATTTTTCACCAGCTGCTCCAGAATGTGCACATATGCAGGGATTACGGCTGGCAGAGGCCAAAACTGATCAACTGCAAATTTAAACCTTCAAGCCCCAGCTTGTTCACACATCTGGGATGTTGTTAATTCCCAAGAGGAGGGTGGCTGAGTAGGGACAATGAGGGACCCAAGCGATGCATTTGGCCTTCAGCATACAAGACACCAAATGAGGTCAATATTGTGCAATTGAAATTACATACCCTCCAACTTTTCCCCAATGAAAATAGGGACGTCCTATTCCATCATAATAATAAGAATAACAATAGTGTTATTATTTATACCCTGCCCATTTGAGTGGGTTGCCCCAGCCACTCTGGGCAGCTTCCAACATATATAAAAACATAATAAAACGTTTGAACATTTTAAAACTTCGCCATAAAGGGCTGCCTTCATATATCTTCTAAAGATAGTTGCGTTTCTCCTTGGCTCGGAGATCGCGTAACTCCATACCCACCAACATTTCTCCGACGAAAACAGGGGCATCCTAAGGAAAAGTGGGACATTCCAGGATTAAATCAGAAACCAGGACGGCTTCTGTAAATCCAGGACTGCCCCTGGAAAATAGCGACACTTAGAGGGTCTGCTTCCAATTCTATAATTCTATGAGTAGGAGATCTAATTTGACCTAATCTTAGAGGGCTCTTCTTATGTTCAAATCCATTCGAACGGTTCCACTTGAAGAAATTCGTGGTTTTGCATTTGGCCGGGCCATTGGGGCAAGTATCTCATAAACTCTGCATTTCTCCCCCTTTTACGGCAATTGCTAGGTTCCCCCTGAGCTGATTCAGACCCTTGCTCAGCTTCTTCCTTTCCCCCTTTGAGGAGTACAAGGTGTTCTAATTGTTCACCAGAAGCACAAAGTGCCTCATTCAGCCACACATCTGAAAGGGCCATGATGATGCACAGAACAGGTGGGTGGTTTCAAGGCAGCCCATTCTCCATCACTGAGGGTGGCGAGTGGTGACAGGGGACCAGGAGAACAGAGCCTTTGTGAATCACTCACACTCAGAAACCCCTTTTTTTAAAAAAATGTGTACTTAAGCTAGCCTTCCTTTATTTTGAAAGAAAAGCTGTTTGTGGGTTCCAAATAATAGTATGGGCCCGTATGCTTTTTCTCCAGTACAGTGGTACCTCAGGTTAAGTACTTAATTCGTTCCGGAGGTCCGTTCTTAACCTGAAACTGTTCTTAAGCTGAAGCACCACTTTAGCTAATGGGGCCTGCTGCTGCCGCTGCGCTGCCAGAGAACAATTTCTGTTCTCATCCTGAAGCAAAGTTCTTAACCTGAAGCACTATTTCTGGGTTAGCGGAGTCTGTAACCTGAAGCGTATGTAACCTGAAGCGTATGTAACCCGAGGTACCACTGTATTCAAGACTGGGTTGAACATTAAGCAAAATAAGCATGTGCTTAGGGCATCAAAGGAAGTGGAGGCACCACAGAAATCTTACATTGCCAGATTTTTAACATTAATGGTCACAAATAGCTCAGCCGAGCATTCATTTTCTCAGTTAAAGTATATTTTAAAAATCCCAGCAATACAACTATGCAACAAAGGGAGGCTGGGTGCCTTATCTCTACTGACTATAGACGCACATGTGTTACGTAAGTTTCGTTTTGAGGATCTGACTTTGCAATTGGAAAAAGAAGGAGAATTCTTTTCAAATATAAATATACCAAAATAAACATTATTTTTCCACCTTACTGTAGGTTTCATTTCATTTCGAAAAATAATTCCCCCCCCAATTTTTTTTTACAAATTATTATTTATTTACAGGATTTAAAAAAATATTACGGTTTTATTTACTTTTTTATTATTTTACTTTTAAGTGTTCATCTAGAAATGAACATGTACAAATCTGTCCTTTTTTAAAAGAGAGAGAGAGAGACATACATTGCCATTGTATTAAAAATAGCTTAAGAATATGGGTTAGCCAAAAGAAAAAAAAACATGGCTCATAGGATAACCAGGTATGAAGCAAGAAACAAACCAGACCTCTTTCTTCCCCCAAAGCTATTCTATAAACTCTGCATCACAAAGTTGAGAAAGTGGTCTAAACCACTTTGTCTCTCTTCCTTTTATGCCCAGAAGTACTCAGTTCTGCTCATATGCAACCATATTAGTTCAACAGCTGGTCGCTGGGATTAATTCAAAACTAACAAACAAGCAACCAGACAAATCCAAGTCACAGAGGCAGCTAAAGCCATTTGTTCGTTTCATCTATATTTAGGTCATTTAACAGTTTTAATTCTAAAAATTGGTCTTCCAGCTTTGCAGCCGGAGATGAACTATGTAGTTCTTCGGGTTCCTATCCCACCCACTCCTACAGGCTTAGGGAGAGTGACTCCATGTGGTCAAAATAAATTTCACAGATAGGACATAACGGAGCAAGGGGCACACAATGTCAATTGATTTCAATGGGCATTGCTTCCTTGGCACAGGATTGCAGACTTAAGTAGGAATTTAAGGCTGTGATCCTAGACGCAATTACCTGGGAGCAGGCTCCACTGA